TTCTTCCTTCTCGTGCCAGGAGGTCATGAACCTCTCAGCTCCCTGCAGCACCGCCGCATGCAAGGGTACTCCCCCCTCTACCTTCGCGGTTTCCGTCCATTTCAACTTCGGTGCCGTGTCTTTCGGTACCGGGATTCCGAGACAATATTGATCGGTTTGCGTAGATCCGTGGTCGGCCCCGAATGCCTTCAGGTCGTCGAGCACACACTTCGGCCAGTTCTGTTCCTGTCCCCCCCTACGTCGCTTCTCCCCCCCTGCCAGTTCGCCGAACATCAGTCGTTTCGGGAGTCGGCCCTCCGGCTGCCTTGCCAATGCTCCCGCGAACAGTAGGCGTCGTTGTCGGATAGGCGGGGCGGGCTGTGATGTTGTAGTCGGCTTGTCCTTTGCGCGCATCAGCAGCGTCTCCGTCTTCTTCTCCGACACCGTTCGCCCGAACTCCCCGAACACCTCAACGATGATGGTCATCATTCTCGCCAGTCCTCCTGCAGACCTCGATACGACGTCGGCATCATCGGCATACAGCATCCCCCATACTGCCCTCCGTACTCGGTCAACGGGTGTCGCCCCCCCTCCCCCCCGCTTCCGTCTTCCCCTCCTCCAAGCACACCAGGCTCCGCAGAACAACCTGATCCTCGCTGAATCGGATGACAATGACCTCGAGGACCTCGGCGAAGAAAATGTTGAACAGCAGTGGGGATAGCACACATCCTTGTCGCACGCCCTGTGTCACGAAGAACCATACTAGTACTTCAACAAGCGTGTCCGAGGGTCAAGTAAAATTGCAACCGATAACCGAGGAGGATCCTGGCGCTACAGCAGTACACACCAGCATTGGAAGACTGCAACATTTCCGTTCTTGTCTCTGCCGGTCGATACCTTGGGTGCTGCTGCGCCGCAGCACGCCAGCACTCAACACGGAGTTTCCGACGAACTACACAGGAATCTGGTACTCATGTAGGCAGGGTAGGGTACCCAGTGCGAAGAGGCCGGGTGCGATTACACCCCAGGCGGCAGCACACTACCTTCTCTTCGACCTCTCGCTGCCCTTTCTCAAAATCCGGAGCTGATTACAGAGGATTTGCTCTACAACAAAATCTTCGCAATGACTCAAAACGACATGCACAGAAACCGCCTACAAGTATTGCTCTAGTAGTGTTCGATAGGGATGAGTTCATGTTCGCCTGGCGGCCAGTCAAGCACATGGGCGATGCATTCTGTGCTGAGCTCGTGCCAAAGTGTCAAACAGTGTACAATATGCAGACAGACGTATAACCATGTCGGACGGTGCAGAAAAATAAGGAAGGAAAACAGCATGCATCTGTGTGTACATGTTTCCGGGATTCTCTTTCGCATACTGAAAGCGATCACCCGCTCATCAAAACCTCTGAGCAAGTTCGGAGCCCGACACAAACTTGCTTCAGAGCATGTACAGGTGCGAAGCGATCCCAGAGACTTGGCGTTGTGTTCATAGATCTTATTTATTCCCTCCATACCCCCTCTCCTCTCGTCCTCTCTTTCTTTCTCTCGTTACCTCTGGCAGCAATCCTCAGTAGCCTGTTCTCCGCCGCTGGAGTTGACAGTAGCCAGTATCTCTACAACCGGACATAAAAGGCTTGTTGCATTTTCCGTAGCAACCCAATGCCTCAATGTCATCGAATCCCTAACGGCGGTTGCCACACCGATGACCTCATGCTTTTGGCAGACTGTGTGAGGTTCGTGCCGTCGCTAGTGGAAGCATTCAAGGGGTTCAAGCCAGGTCAGGCCGACATCGTCTTCATAAGCTCGGACAGAAGCGAGGAACTCCAGCGCCGTTACATGGAGGAGGGTGAGATCACGTTGCTGCGAGTCGTGGGATTGGGGTTTTCTTTTCCTGCGAGATTCACAACGCGCAGACGAGAAGCTTGGGACACGACATGAGGCCAACCGGTTGGTGCGCAAAGCACTGGGTATTGCCGAAGGGTTCAGAGTTGCTAGGCTAGTATGACGTTGGGTAACTTTGCCCATCGGGACTAAGGCATGGATTCCCCGAATTTGACAAGCCAGCCAACTGGGAAGGAACGCGTAACGACCGCACCATCCAACTCGACGAAACTTGTGTGTTGTCTCTTCCTTCTTATTATGTGTCTGCTTTCGCCCGGGGCGCCGCAACTTCCGAAGTTCTCCACGCAGATTGGCCAGCCGTGACTTTCGACGGCGAGCACCGGGCTGATCTCAAAAGGCGAGAGAAATGAGTTAGTTGCCTAAACTTGCCTAAACACGCGTTCTTTTTCTTTTTGTTTGGCCAGCATGAAGGCTATACAAGGAAGGGCAGCAAAGGGTGACACTGGTACGGACTGGTAGCTCCCACAATTCATTGCATGTTTTTCCTCCCGATGGGGTACCGCCCGGAATACCGACACCCTCGCACAATGGAGATAGAAGGTCATGAAACCTCCGCCGGCAAGGTCTACCTTGCCTGCAACAATAACACCAGAGCGGGAGCTCTCAGGGTTAAGTGGAATGGTATTGTACCCCCTACATCACGTGTGGTGGTGGGTGTTTTTTTCACAAGACTGCTGCAAGACAGGGCGAGCTTCGACCAGATCCGCCCACTAAGCGCCTCCATAAACACTCAACGCCGCCCCAGCAACCACCCCGCATAAACGGCGTGTGCCATGCCGGGCCCGCTTCACACCGTCGCTTTAGCATTTTGTTCTTCCTGCGGTGAAAAAATCAACTGCAACAGGCGTTTCGGGGCGTGTGCTGGATCAGAGGTGACGGCCTTGGGCATGTCTCCCTCCGATCGAAAGGGAGGCATCCCTACGCTCGCCGTGTTCCGCGCATCGGACGGGGTTCTCCTGACCATGGACGGCGTGGACGACGTGAATCAAGCAGGGGCTGGCGCGGTTGATCGCTGGGAAGCAGCGGCAAACAGATGAAAGAGATACGCGGTTTATCGTTTCCCTTTGATCACTGTTAAGTTTTTCAAGTGTAGCGACGAGGACTCCTCATCGAAGTGGCAGTCGTGCGGCTCAAGTGAAAGAGTGGTTCTGCCGCCGGCGGCGGCGGTGATGCTGGAGATTTTTGTAACTCGTGTAGAGCAATGTCATAGGCTTGTAGGAGCTCGTTCGCAAGGGTGTTTTTCCACGGCCTTCTCGCCATGGCTTGCACATTCTTCGCTCAAGCAATCACGTAAAGCTACCACAACTAGGTTGACAACGACACGCTGTTTTTTTTGTGGAGATCGCTCTACAACACTTTCTCCTTGAGGTTTCTACGGGTTTGGCCGGCGCGGAATCGATCTGAAAGAACCGCCCGCATCCACTTTTACGCACAGTTGGGGCCCGCCATTGAGAATTATGCATGTTTGAAGACTCGAGAGTCCACGAAGCATGAAAAAAGCGGTCACGAAGCGCCTCTCCAGCGATGGATCCTGCCTGGTACATCTCAGATGCAAGTCCATTCTCGACGGCGGTGACAAACTAGAGATACAGTAGCTGTCGCTACAACGAGCGACAGCTGATAGTTGTAACTGTCGTCAGACGTGTGCGTCCACGGAGGAAGTAATGCGTTTAATTGCGAGGGGCACCGCAGCCGTTTTTTTTGTTTGTTTGCAATTGACTTTGTCGTGCATCTGCTGATCCAGGGGACTTCATTGGTAACCCGCGACGGCACTGGAGACGCCCATGTCCGTGTACTTCACCCTCGTCCTCTGTGCTAACTCCCCAAGCCTAACTTATTTCAGCCTAGCCTTGATCGTCGACGAGTTTCCAAGGTTGACTGACATGCCGAAACTCATTGGCTCTTTGATGAGGTGACACAGACGATTGTAAATTCCAACTCAGTTGGTGGAGGAGGAGGAGGAGACGATGATGATGGTGGTGGTGGCAATAATGATGGTGGAAAAAAGGAGGGCGCCATGACAGTTACGCGTTGGGATCGTGCGTCTTCAAGACTGCACGGCGTGCTATGCCTGACAACTACGGGTATCCCCCAGGGCTTTGTGAAACGCCTTGGGGGGAAACTATCGAGCGGGCGGCATTGGGAACGGGCCAAACGGGCAAGCGGCGTGGAGGGAGCTGAAGGCCAAGTACGCCTGTCGGCGAGTCATCCGCGACGCTTGAACAACACTCAAATGTCTGTCGGGCAAGACCCGGACGAGTTCCTGAACACACTGCATCAGCTTCGCACGGACCTGCAGAAGGAGCACGGAGAAGTTGTTTCTGATGACGAGCTTGAGTTAATGGTTATCGAACACCTCACCGAAGAGTACGATTTCGTGAGGACGTTGTTCGTGACCAAGGACCCCGAGTTCGGCCTTCCCCTGATCGAGGCCACTATGCAGCGGACGTAAATGCGTCGGAGCCACCAAGCAGCCAATACTCGAAACGAAACTGGTTACTGCTGTTGTGAGCCGGGGGACATCAAGGCGAATTGCAGGGCCCTGCAGAAGAACGCTGGCGAGGGTTGGCACAATTCCAGCCGTTGTCTCACAAAGGCGAGGAAATGGTGCTCGAAGCACAGGTCAACCACGCACAGCGACGCCGAGTGTCGTGCTCAGCAGCATGCTCGAGCGGAACCCATGGTGGAGGAGATGTTTTCATTTTGAACCGCATGTTGCGCGGGAGGCGGCGGCGGCGGCGGCACACGCCGTTGCCGTCCTGGACCCGGTCGGCGGCGGAGGAATTAATTGGAAATCTTCTACCTACGCATCCGCCCCTTTCCCACGACAACGAGGCGTTTCTCGGTGGTGACGGGGGCTTCAAGGCCGACCTCACAACAGCAGGGACTACGGTGCGATGAACAGCCGCCATTCACCAAATAAAGGCCACGAAGGACAATCAGCGAAAAGTTAAGTTAGTTGCAAAATATTTGGGTGGTTGCCTTTTGTTCCGTTTGGAGGGGATGCTGGTACGCGAACGGACACGAATGGGTCCCGGGAAGATGCAAACCAGGTCATCACCGTCTCCCGACTTCAATATGACGCGCCCGCAGAGTAGTATTTTGCCCGACTTCGGGGGCAATCTGCATCGTATTTCTTCATTGAAAACTTGATGAATGCACAGAGCTGCAACAAGTGTGTGAAAAAAGCATTGTGGAGTTTTCGTGTTGTTCTTTTCGTTCACCGCCTTACATGTAGTCTAGGTAGTTAGGGAAAGTCTTGATCAGAGCGACGGGCGATCTGACCGCAACGGCTTGTACGCCGCCGTGGACGGTCGGCGTTTGCTTCGAGAAAGAGCGGATGCAGAGAGACTGCTAGAATGGTATGTAATGTTCAATTGAAGTCGTTACCTTATCCCGCCAGCGACCATAGCTTGGGGTGCTAGTTCGAGTACTGCGGGTTTGGTGGAGGGCGACTCTCCGCAAATGAAGCTGATTCCATGCACGTATGTGCATCTGTTTGCTGCTGGGGTCAAAGGGGCATGTTGCGTGTGTGGGGCTGGTGTTGTTTGTTGTTGCCAGCACAGAATGAAGCAAGGAATGTAATTCGACGGTTGTCATCAACGTGCGTATTGTTTGACGCCTGTGCAGAATCTGCAAACTCGTCACTTCTTGGAATCAATAGTGCATGTTTCTGCAGCTCTTTGTTTAACATGCCCCCTTATGTATTTTTCTCTTTCTTTGCGGCATAGACGGTCCTACACCGATGTTGCGGCAATCGAGTTGCTTGGTGGATCTTGGCTATCTATATGGATACATATGGGTTTATGAACGTTCATGAGAGTTACTGTAGTCGACGTGTGCTACACCGAGATGCCATACACAATCAGTGGGGTTACACGGACACCAAACAAGTAAATGGAAATCACGACACACAGCACTCTGCACTTTTTAACACCTTCTTTGTTGCATTGGATCGTCGATGCAGACAACTAAGTTGTAGAGCGGTGTGGGACAGCGAAACTGGACAAGGGCGGTCACAACATATGGCAGTTTCTAGAGTGTGCGAGAGGGCACCCCCAGTGGTACGTTTGATGGTACCGGTCAAAACTCAAACCAACAGCCATCATGTGGGTGTTTTCTTGGCTAGTGTGCGGCCAGGGAGGCTCGGTTATTTGCGACAAAGTGCGTGCGGGAGAACCAGAAGGAGATTAGCCGTCAGCCTATGCCGTGCGATTACGACCAGCTCTCCGCTGTCGGTCGACATCGTCGATTCGCTCCAGTTCAAGCGCGTGTAGTGCCGTTTCGTCTCGGTCAAGCTCTCGTGAAAGTTCATCCAAAAGAAAGCTCCGTCCAGCCCTGCAGGGCGATTTGTCAATCAAGGGGTATCGCCAGGAGTCCACAAGCGTGAACGGTTGGGTTGGAGGAGGTGTCGTGCTTCGGCCGTTAAAGGATTTCGATTTGGCTTCACGTCCTTCCTCAGAAACCTTCAAGCACCAAACCGACGGATATCTACGTAGCATATTTCTATTGGTCCCAGAGTTTACGAGGTCGGACGTAATCTTGGGTGCAAAGCGAGCATCAAGAACCTATGTACGCGGGCTTTGCACCTCAAAATATTTCAACACATGCGGTACGCATGCCAAAATTCTTCTGCTCGAACTCAGGAAAACGTGCATCTTCAATCGTGAACATTGTTTTCAGGTGTCCAATCCTGTTTCCATGGAGTCTACATCAAGATTGGGCGCAGGGCGGGGGCCTGCCGTCCTGGCCGACCGCTATAGTACAGTAGACCGCCACCAGGCCTTCCCACCCGCCCCTTGTTTGTTGTCGCTCTCTCATATTGAGGATTCACCCAAGGGGTGGCGGCATATTCGGAGCGGCGCTATAAAAAAATCTGAGACAGAGAGATGTCTACCGTATGCCTTGACTCCTTTCCAGTTGTCACAGATATCGTAGACATCGCCCGGCGAGGTACTGAACGTCGTCGCCATTGAAACAAATCAAGGGATTTCAATTGCCGTCTTTCAGTACGACGAGGGGGAATCGCATTCGAACAAGATGCAGACACTTCCGAGAGAGACGACAGAGTACATCAATCACGCTTTTGTACGCCTTTCAGAGCTTAAAGAGCACTTGCTAATCAGGCAACATTTGAGCGGACAGCCATGGATTGATACCTGACAACTAGCCTTCGAAACAGCATGAAGAGCAAGGGGCTGGCGGAGACTTGGAGACGTTTGGTCTCGGCGGCCCTCAGGATAGCTAAGAATCTGCAAGACGAACGCAGAAAGAGTGTGAGTTAGGGAGGGTACCACTGTACGTGGAAGTACAGGCAGGTCCTAGATATAGCACTATGAACCCATCACGAGGTATCCTGGACGGTTTTCTAACGGTAGAAAAGAACTCATTTCGTTGCTGTGCATAAAAGAGCAAACACAAACAAGAGACCGGACTACTCAAGGTCAAGACATGAAGAAGGCCGGGAAAAGAACGAAGGCAAGTTGGTTGAACGAACTCCGGAAAAAAAAACGAAGTATTCGTGAAACATGACCATATGGAGGATCGTCATGAAGTACCTTCCAGCCAATAAAAGGTTGAGGGTCTTCCCATGGATGTCGCTCATGGCGACCAGCTTGCCCCTCTGCCCCACCGTTCTGGCCGCGTGCTGGAGCTGAAGCCCTTTGACTATCACGCCGTGCGCCGTGGCCTGCGAAGGATACAATAGAATAATGTCTGAGGCCCGACAAAGGAGAGCTTTCGTATATTCGTAATAGCCGTGCGTATGTGGAACAAGACAGGGGTTGTTTCGTGGGTAGCCGGGACTTGATTAACCGCATTCCTACTCGGCACGTGTACAGCGGCTGCCATTCCATGACGATGGGTGTTCCGGTTGCACCGACTAAAATCAAACACTATTATCCAGGCATACCGGACTTGCGGGACTTCCGGAGAAGCTGACACCGGAGCGAGCAAATTGCAACGTGACTTGATGCGTGCGCTGTTGTAGGCTTGGGTCTTTCTTCGCACCTGAATAGCGGCAATGTCCTTTTCCTTCTGTAATTCTATAAGCTGGTCCTCGAAGGGTGCCATGGTTTCAGAAACCACCAACCTTGCTTCATTGCTGCAAAGTTCTTCTTCGATCTCTAGAAACGAAGCCAGCGCCTGCGTGGCATCAGTAAGTATTGCAAGAGAGTTCGGGTTAGGGCATTTTTCAAGGCGGTATGCGTGTTTATGCAGCGTATAGACCTAACGTTTGGGAGGAGGGTGATATGATAACCAGGTGGTCTTAGTTTGCCATCTGCTGTAAACAAGAAGCGAGCCGCAAGGTCCTCCATCGTCCACGCAAAATCCTTAAGCTGACGTGCATTTATCATAGCCGACGATTGCCAAACATATATGAGGGAAGCATGTCTTGTTTCAAACCGAGGCGGGGGCCTGCCTCTATGTAACAGTTTAATTCCATCTTCCCGAAGTTAAACATCGTACAAGGAAGGGGGGTGTTGCCCAGGACCTTCGGTCTGTGGAGATCATGTGACAACGTGTTCCCTAGCACACGCAGCAAATCTACAAGAACAAGGCAAGAAGGGGGACAGTACAAACGCCACTAAGACAAAAACAACAACGACGACGACGGCTACGACAGAAACCACGCCATATGTCTTGACGGCTCCGAGCCACATCGAAGCTGTTCCTAGGACGTTTCGTAATAAGTCCCCAAAACAATGACCGCCCCGCGGCGCACTGCACGACCAGGACAATATATATATACATTTTTTTCTGTGACGTTCTCACGGAACACAAAGTGTCACAAGCTCCAACATGCGCGCGCAGAAGTATGATATGCCGACACATCGACTCACAGCGGCGTTGTAGTAGACCTCAGAAGCGATTGGCCACACCGCCTCCACTACTCCTTCCTCGAGGACGGTTTCTACAAGCACGGAGATTCGCTTCCCGAACAAAAAGTCTTCGGCGCACTCTTTCACTACCTCTGTCACTGCCTGGGATGCGCGCGCGTTGGGCCGATCGGACATGGCAGCAATTGTGTCGCACTGAAAGTATATGTCGATCGTCGAACAGCTTGCCAACATGTGTGTGTGTGTTCGATGATTAACACGCTTCATTGTAGCAGCACCGTTTATATCGCATGATGTTGTGCTTGTTCGTTCTTCAGTTGTTTACACATTTTGGTTACTACGCTGCCATCATTCTGCGATCATGAGCATGAGAGGCTGTCGGTCTCATCGCTTCAAATCTGTTGCATACAGGCGCGCCGAGTTCTGCGGCATGCTCAGTCGTCAACCATTCCGTGGTTCTGAATGCACGTTGAAGTCCCTTCTGAAAGTACTTCCTTCTATCATAGGAGCAGTTCCGATCGTGGCGGAAATCACTGATCCCGACCTCACGGATTGCCTTGGGGCGAGTGTTGATGTTCGTTTTCTTCACCGTACTGAGGATTGGAAAGCCAGCCGAAAAACAGTCGGTAAGAGCCCAATGATGATTTTGCAGGCGCTCATATGGTAAACATACTAGTTGCCTTCTTCGTTTACCGCCATCGAGTTACCCCGGTGGACAAACAGACCAAGTGACGCAGGAACGAAAGTCGCACAGGAATGGACGAAAGTCGCTAGTCCCTCGTGTAAAGTAGTTCACACCTCTCTCATCCACACCCTGAGTGCCTCGGAGACCAAATCATCCACCGTCGCGAGCAACGGATTCCTTCGATCTCTGACGTAGACAACATCTAAGTGGCTGCTCATGCCACCAAGGCGAGGCACGGACATTCCAGAAAAGAAAAGGCGTCCGAGAAAGGGATCAGATCGGGACGCGACGCGGGATTGTTCATTTTTCCCTCTAGAAGGGCGATGCAACCACGAATCAACAACGAGTACCCACGAACACCTGGCAAACTCCACCGCGGCTCCTAGGTTCGAGAGAGATAGGACCGAATAGGATCTGCGCAGATAGGGGGGGGGGGGCATGGCGCAATGGAATCAAGAACCTGAATCGGGTCTGATTTCCAACATCATCCCACCTGTCGGCTGCCTCTGCCAGTGTCATCGACACGAGCCCACGAATCAGCGACGCGGTCGTCTGGAGAGGGAAAGCGATAGGGACATAGGTTTATTCGAGACAGGGTTTCGTCTCAACGTGAAAGCCTTTTCTGGAGTCGACTGCACTACGGCGGTGCGTCTCCGCGCCCTGACTCCACGCCTTTGCATTTTACCCTCGCTACACACAGCGTATGGCTCGTGGGCTCCTGGCTCGCACATTTTCCCCACGTGGTACGTCCCAACAATCAGGACTACCAGCACGTTGAAAAAAAAAGCTCATGAAAAGGGAGGTGGTACAACGTTGTTTCGTCAACAAGGGCGATGACTACAGCAATATCCAACCGTGTTGGATTGTTTCTCTGTTGACTGGGACATCGTCAGCACGGATTTTCGTTTCTTTGGCCTGAATCTTGTGACTACTGGAAAAACCCAGGACCAGGTTGTAACGTAAAGACAACAAGTATCAGATTGCAGCAGTGGCCAGCAGGGGTCGAAAAGCGATTCGCCTGAGACGCGTCGATCGATGCACTCGTTTTCCGCCTACAAGGTTTGGCAGTCTCATCCTGAACTCTAGCTGTTGCATTAAAAAAATGATTCACGGTGTTGTCCGGTTTGGGTGACAAATTGATTAATTCCAATGACGTAGTCCCTCGTAGTTGTGATACCGGACAAATGACTCCGAGTGAGTTTACCTCTTCCATGATAGCATGCGCGGCAGAAGTTGCTTCTGCCCTCTGCGACACCGCTGAATCGACACCCTCGAAACCCGCGCCGAGTGCGTCGGAGATGACATCCGGAGCAACATCCTGACAAACCGAAGGATTTCACGGCGGGGAGGATCGCAGAGTTCTTGGAGTCGTCGCAGCGGCAAGTGTTAATGATTTACTCCAGCATTCCACGGTTAGTAGGAGGGAACTGCGGTTGCAAACCTAGCACACGCACACATTTTTCGTTACCGACAGAACGGTTCCAGTTGCATTCTGAGTGGGATAGCCGCAAGCATTGCCGCGCTCTTTACGCCGAACGATCGACATAGAGAAGGGGAGACAGACACACAACGGGATGACGCTTGAGTGCAGGCACTGTAGTCAGCGTGCCCGTCGTTTCCTACATCCAAACAACACCACGTGTCATCCACGACAAGCAAATATTGACAACCGCACACCCTGAAAACGTAAGTCCAATGGCAATAACGCGTTGGAGACTTGGTTACAATGGTGTCTCACGGACAAGGCCGAAAGCAATTCCACCCGCAGGAGCTTCCCAGATGACAGGAAAACACCCAGAACGGCCTCGTCCGAAAACGTTACGGCGCTCGCGGCATCTGCAGCTTGCACTCACCTCGCGGATGTAGGCCTCGATGATTTCCATCGCCACTCCAAGGCAGGCGGTCCTCAACATCTCGACAGCAATTCGTCTTCCCCCCACGCGGTTTCGGGCCGCGAATCCTCGGGCAATGCGTTGCACCGTCACGATGGCCCTCATGCTAGTTACGACGTGTGCAGGTTTTCGGTGCAGAATGTGACAAGAACGGACAACCGCCTTGGCTACGGTTGGCGCGACCGACGTTTGAAAGCAGTGTAAATAGCACAAACCACCAAGTGTGCAAACGTAGAGACGTGTTGGTAGGAATGTAGCTACTGCCAGAATTCACAAACTGGGGAAACAAGATGACAACGCTGGTACCAGAAACTTTACACGGGAAAAAAAAGAGTTGAGAGATCTGTGCGTAATCATTACCCGAGCGCATTACCGCCAGGGTGTTGAATGCTAATGGCGGCCCTTATCCTTTGTCTGGTAGTACGAGAGGAGGGGGACAACGCAGTGCCCCCTTGAGACGTGTGTTATTGACGCCAGCCGTTCCCCAGGAAATCGAAACCCGCAAAAAAATGTTGTGATTGGTAACACTTTCTACAAAGTGTTGCCTAGGCTTCGTAGCAATGTTTACTCGCCCCCGCGTAGGTGCGACATAGAGCTTGGTACGACGTATTTAGCTTGCCCCAACATAGGATGTTTTACCCACGTTCGTTCACGGATAGCTTCTCTCCTCCTTAACTGGTTGGTGTCATGTACGGTTTCTCCCCCGCCAGCTCCTGCCAAGACCTTGTTCGGTCCTGCCATATCTGCTTCCTGCTGATCGTCGGCATACACAGAGAGGGTATCGTACAAAAATACTGACACAGAGTGATGACGTACTTGGGGTAAGATCGAAAAGTTTCGTTGACGGCGCGATCTTCCCTTGGAGCGAAACGAACGGAGAGATGCGGGATCAAGACCAGCGTTAACTACATACAGACAGTCGTCGATATTTGCTTGAAATTTTGTCATGTCGCCGTATCGCCGTCTCTACCTGAGGGGTAAAATACCGACAGTGGCCACCACATCGTCAGCAATATCTTTTCAGCAAAACAGACGCAAGATAATGCCGAACATTCGCTATTCGTCGCTACTCTCCTTCCCCATACGTTCAAGCGCTCTGCGTGATAGCTAGCCTACGTTGAAGTCAGCACTAAATCGACATTCTTCTAGTAGTCGCCGGGGATTGATTCTCAGTTCTTTGCAGCCATATACTCAGATTTCCGCGAGGCTGCCCGTCACCAGCGGTGCTCATCGGACGCCAATTTCTTCCTGAGTACCCATTTCATCGCAGGCAGAAAAACAATAGATATGCTAGGAATCTAGCTCTCGACCGTATCGAAGTATGTGGTGTACAACCACAGCCTGGTACATAGTCAGGCGAAACAAAATTGTACAGACGCACCTTCGCAAACTTCACGATTGCTGGGCCCCCCGCCCTGTCTTTTCCCGCCCGGCCAACCGTGATCCTCCTCTCGTTGGTGTTTTCGACCTGGGAGCGATTGTGGTGGGTTCTTCGCCGATCCTCCAGGCCTTGCCTGGATTTTCGTTCGCTTTTTCGTCGGGGTTGATCGCTTCGAGCCTTGCGATCCCCGCCGCTTTCACGAGAGCGATGGCGGTGGCGGTTGTCTCTGTGCTGCCCCCTCTCTCGGCCACCCGGGTCCTTGTCTTGGTACCTGCTTTCGATAATTTCGTTGGCCGATGAGACCTCTCGGGCTGAGTTGTTTCTGTACTCTGCGTGAACACGTGCTGCATGTTTTTCTTGAACGAGATCGAGACTGCGTAGCGTTTTGCACGTTCTCGACTATGAAACTCGACCCAACTCTATTTCCTTGAGGAGCGATGCACACGCCTGTCGGTATCTACCGATGAGAGGTTTCTGATGGCATCCGCCCGCAGTGAACGAATTAATTGTTCTGGTTTTTCCATCTGCTCTCCAAGGTGTTCCTTCCGCTCCGTGAATCCCACGGACCAGAATTTCATCATGTAACTAAAATCACCGGCGGAGGTTCCACGCGTGTTTTGCTCAATGGCCGCACCAGACAGAATCAAGTTGGACCACCGAAGTTTTGGTGTTATGAACGAACTCTTCGGTTACTTCACCTTTCTCTGCTGTCCCCTGCACCCTTGGAGTGTTTGCGTGTGCTGCGGTGGTCTTTGCGGTGATGGCTACGCCGGCCATCCTCATCCCCGTTGCTCCGGCGGAGGTAATAGTCGTGGGAGCCTCCGTCTCTGTTAGTTGACCGCCGTTTGTTCGGAAATAAAGACCGCTTGTGGCCGTTGTCGGGACGTTGATGTCTTCCTTGTCTCGGCTCCTCTCTGGACGACGTTGCGGTAGTTCCCGTAGCGCTCGTATCACTAGCGTCTTCTTGGCTTCTGCTAGTGTTGCTGCTGTCACTGTCCCCCATCGACGTCGACGGTGCCTCCCCGGGGGATTTGGATCGTGCTGCCGCAGAGGACGAGCTATTGCGGTCACGACGCCGAGGAAAATGCGTCCCACGGCGTCTGGGGCGCCGAGCAGAACGTTCCTTACAGCACCGGCCGCTATCTCGGCCGGATCGATGTGCCGAGCTGGTTTTGCGGCTACCATCGTCACGACGAGAATGATGACCACGACGACCACGACGGATTTCGTCGGGCTTCGTTGCGGATCCCTTTTCCGAGGGTTCTGTCGTTAGCCCGGAATGCTGAGCAAGGGGGAGGCAAGAAGGATTTGGGGGATGCAATTGATTGTTGGCGTGGGAGGTCGGGGGGGGAGAGGAGGGCGAGGACGAAGAGGAAGAAGAAGAAGAAGACGCAGAAGAAGAACCCGATGGAGATGCCGACGTTCGCTGGGACATTGAAGACGCTGACATGGTGGCAAGAGGGGGCGGCTGATGCGGAAGTCCAATCTTGGCCATTGTAGCCGAAGCTTGGACAGATGGTAGAGACTCGTCTACAACTGGGGGCGGTGTGCATGAAAACGAGCACGCCTAGTTGTTTAGGGCGTGGTTGCATGTGCCTCGAGGCCCTTGTTACATGTTCATCGCTGCGTCACAACATCGGGTTGCATAAGGATCCTCGATTGGTTGTTTCACAGATGTCCTTGTAAGTTTCCCTTTCCATCACCACAGATTCCTTGGTGTGTTCGTATTTTGTTGACAACACGTTAAGGGGGTGCAGAAGACGAATTTTGAAGTTCACTCATTTTGAAATCAATTGCAAAAGCACCAGAAATTGCACAACAGACACACCACACCAGCAGGAAGGTAGCGCGGGAAACAGAAATCGTTGATTCTCGCACAGGGCGGCCGTAGAGGCTGCTCGAAACATACATTTCACGCGTCTACCTCCACACGTCTCCTTTGAAATCAAGAAAAAATCACACCATTCTAAATTCTAGTCAATAGAGCCAAAACAGAATGCGCTCAACAAGGTCAACTTTGAGTGTTAGGTGTCGCACTCTATTGTCATCAGTAGCGGCCATCATGAAGATGAGTCGTGCGTGCTGGCACGTTCAGGATTGCTACTGGAGCTGAAAATCAAGGTCGCAGCAGCCTCTGAAAACAGTCCGAAAACTGCGCCGGAACCAAGTGGCATCCAACATTTATCGCAGCCGTGCTCGCCGCCACTAATTCCAATCCACTCTTTTGCGGGCTTATAGCAGTAGCTGATGCCACTAGCTACTGCTGACGACCCGTGGTTCAGGGGTACGATCTTACTGGCGCTTTTATTTGATGGATAGTGCGTGGCGCTATGCTGCAGCCCAAGAACCTACAGTATGGTGACCCCAATCCTGACATACCATAGTGCACAGAGTCGGAAAGCTACGACGGTAGCTTCGAGTCGACGGGCAGTCTAGCCTGTCCCGTAGCATGTTGTACTGTCAGAAATCCTCTACATCTCTTGCGCGTTTGCCGCTTGACCGGGGTTCGACATTTGTGCAGTGCACAATATGTATCCTACCTGCTGGTGCCGTCGGTCTGACTCGCGTATTCCTTGATCGGCCATGGTACCGCTTGTCGATCGCCGAGGAGCCCTCCTCCAGCTTTCTGCCGCGACGCGACCTGTCCCCGGCCATACCGACTACTGTAGGAGCTCGAGTTGACTCTCGCAGCAAGGTAATACACCCCGAAAGAGGTGCGTTTTTCCGCCCAAAGCAGACCGCGGAAGACTGTCCAAGGACACCAATCAACGTCCTGGAAACAACTTCTTGGTTCTGCTGTACGAGGGTGCGTCATGCGAGCATGCGAGCGTGAGAAGTCGTGACACTCGAACACAGGCGTTGGCGTTTCACGCGAACCGGCGGGCGAACCCCGGCCTTCAAACTCGAGAACTCAAGTCGCAGCAGCCGCAATTGCGCCGCATCGCGGAGCCGTTAGGTGTTGGTTGGGTGCGTGTGCCCTTGACCCTTGGCGTACGCCTGCTGTTGAGTGTGGTACTCTGTCGATCAGTGCGGTCACGATGCGGGGACCACCCTGGTCAGCGGGCACGAGGATGTTCAGTTCGGTGGATGACTCCTCCGATAGCAGCGACACGAGCAGCGAGTGTTGGAACCCGCGTTCACCTGGAGAACATAGTATTGGTAGTCGTCCCTCGGGGGGCGATGTGTCCCCGAGCAAGCTGGCCTTGCCTGCTCTGGCTACAGCCCTGCGTGCTTCAAGAGCTCGAGCGGCCGCGGCTCAGGCGAAAGCTTCTCGGTGAGATTGCGGTCTCAGCAACTGCCGGTGTGTTTGGCCCGTGCACTTCCCACTCAAAGTGAGATCGCTGTTGGTGGTAGCAGTTACGACTGCAACCGTTGTGACTCTGTATACGCAACTACTCTTGCTGTGAAACGCTGCCTATGCAATCAGCGCAAGTGGCTGGTTCGGGGCAGTCGGAAACCGGTTTCATTTTTTCACTTGGAGATGGAGCGGTGCGCCAGCTGGACTTCCGAGCGGTTGGCCCTCTTTGCTCATCCTATCACAACGCTCAGAGTTTGAAGAGCTCTCTTCTGCTTTTTTAGAACTACTTTTCGTTTGAATTTTTGCTCACGCAGCAGTTGGTCTGCGGCAGGTGGGAGCCCTGGTATCTTGCTCTCATAACCCATGAACACATTTCACATGCATGGGGTACTACGCAATGTGACTCACCGGTGCGAGGGTTTACGCTGTTCGGTGCATAGACAGCAGCAAAAATCGGCCCGCAAACTTCATATCTACGTTATAGCAGAACATACCCTTGCAAAATGTTGCAAGCAGGAGCTAGCTACATATATAGTCTATAGCACAACTTACCCGAGTTGTGCCATGAAACCCCCGTCGCTTTACACATTGCAGCGTGTGGGCGACTGTAGTAGCATATCTGTTTAGCCTTGTCGAGAACTAGTTCGAAATCTGCAGCAAGTAGGGCTTGCTCTGCGCCAGCATAGCCGCCCCAGCGTGAAAAGCTGCTTACAGCAGACCCCACGCTTGGCGCTTGGCACAGGTTACTGGAGGAGACGGGACGCCTACGCGACGCCCTGAAAGTCGCTCGCAAGGGAGAGGAAAGAGCGAACCGCTGCGAGACGGAGCTGGCCAAAAGCGAGGTGTGGTGGCGGTACAGTAGTGCTGCAGCTAAATAGGCGCTGCCTACTGAGCCCAATGTTCCTCGTGGGGGCGTGTTAACTCTTGTGTACAGATGGGAAGAGATCCGGAAAGTCTGCGTCGTAGGAGTAAGGTTTGTATCGAGATCAGTTTTTTCAACCATCGTTTGTTGTTCGAGACACCAACCAAAGCATCATCAACAACAATAACAACCCACACCAACACCGTCACCCTCAGCAACTACAAAAGAAAATAACCGGAGAACACTCCCCCAACACGGCCGCCCTCAGCAACAACGACGACAACTCCCATCAACACCCTCACCATAAAACAGTAGGAACGAACAAAATATTCCATACTATTCCAAAAGTGTGACAGCCATCCGACACAACCCTTGCGACCCCTCGGCGTTTTCGCGTGACGCAGGCCCGCGCACGCGAGCTCGAGAGCGACAACCGACGGATCCGACGTGACCTAGACGGGGCCAGGCTTCGGAACAGGCAAAACGAAGCCAAGGCGCGCAGCTCCCTCTCGATCCTCAGGACTTCCCTGGAAGGCCTCGAGCAAGAGCAGAGGGCAAGATGCAAGCGCTGGAGAGCAACGACAAGGGTAAGACAGGCTTGGCGTTGTCGCTCGATGGAAGGCTTCCGACCCCCACACTTTGATGGATCCTGTGGGAACAGTGCTCCGCCATCTCGAGACCGCGTGGTCCATGGTCTAAGGCGTGCAAGACATGAGCACGGCTACACCCCCAACTCCATTGCCTTCTCCGGGTGTGTTTTCACCTTGCAATTTTATCGACGGAGGGGAAAGGTGGCGGTCCTGAAGTAATCGTCGTTAGGAATATCTACCTGAGAGCTTCGCATAGAATATCGCTCCACTCCCCCCCCCCCGTTTTCCGGGAGGCAGGCACCTTCCTTCAACGATAAGCTATTCCATATGTTTCTACATCTTGTTGCTCTACGAAGACATTAGCAACGACCCGTCCCCTGCTCCAACCATTCCGATTCATCTACAGTCTCAGAGAGCTCTCCTCGAGTCTCTCCGGCGGCACGTCCAGCGCGGCCACCACTCGGCCCCGTCCTTCACCGCCTTCCAGCTCATCGAGCAGATCTTCGGGTGCCTCAAGACCCTGGAGTCGGATGCGCAGCTCTCCCCCGCGCGGCGGAGACAACGCTCGCCCTCTGCCGCTTGTTCGCCCCTGACTGACCCTTCGCCTCCCCGTCGTGGAGGATCGCCCAAGCGGTCGCCGCACGCCGCCGTCGCCGCCGCCGCCGCCGGCCCGCGGGTCACGGTGAAGGGGCTGACGCCGACACCGTCTAGTGTATCGGATCGGTTAGACGACGAGGAGGATCCTGATCTACGTACAGGGCGAGGGACAAACCTGCCCGCGGCGATCGGTATTGGTGGCGGCGGTGGTGGCCTGTATTTTTCTTCCGACGGCGACGGCAGCGGCGTGGACGGAAGCAGCGGTAGCCAAGAGGAGTTCCAGACCCAAGAGGGGGGGGGAGGGAGAACGACAGCGAGGTTTTCGACGGAGTGGGCGTACCGCCTGGCGGTAACCAAGCTTACCGCACAGCTCAAGGCGGCGAGGGAAAGGCTGCACGGAGAGAAGGAGGCGGCGAGATCGGCGGGCGAGAGGGTTGAGCAGGTAAAACGCGTTAGCGTTCATCCGTTCCTTTTGGTCTTGGGTGCGAGGAATTGATCGCATTTGTCGCTGGGGAAGGAACACCCGGCGGCGTGGTGTGCTACACGCACGGAGACTTTTCGCTTGAGGCTCTTATCTCTTGATGAACCTGGCAGTGTTTTTGTTGGGATGCGTCTTACGGCGGTTCCACCACGTGTTACGCATTCGCAGCGCCGAGGGTTAACTTGGAGCGATAGATGGAGGGAACTGCATCCGCATCGATATTCCCGTGTGCCTTATTGTGGTCAGGACCGGTCAGGACCGTATAAAAGGGGTTCTACAGGGGAGGCTGTGATGGAAAGACTGGTTAAAAGATTATTGGAATGGCAATGCGCGTGGCTGCAGCATCAACCGCTGGTAGTTGTGTAGAGTTTGAGTTTGCAGGCCGCCACACAACGGCTATTCCCTTTCGGCAGGACACGTTCGCGTATGCAGTATCATTGCGGGTAGATGGAGGCGTTGGAAACGATACGAAGCCCGTAAGGCGCAGGCGACAGAAGCACACTTCAAAGCCAAAATTTTAAAGAGATAGACGGGCGGCGTAAAGTCGTGTGGGGATGCTGCTGCTGCTGCTGCTGCTGCTGCTGCTGCTGCACTCGTTGCTAGCTGTTATGCTCGTATGTTTGCATGCTCGACTGATGCCACTGCATAGCTCGGGTCGTTCAGCTTGGTGCTACTCTACTAGCCTTCACGCCGACGCGTGCAGACGTACACGGTTGTAACCATATCATGTACTGCTGTGGGTGTCCTTGCCGTTTTCTTTATTGTCAGGAGGAACTGCGTTGTCGGCAGCTGGAACTGGAAGTCGAAGGCTTGTCCTCGAAGGTCGCCGCGGCGGACGGCCATCGTCGCAGGCTGGAAGCCATGCTCAAGGAGACAAAGCGAGAGCGCGACGCGTTGAGGGTACGTTGAATACTTGCACAACCGTCGCAAGCAGGGTGTGCTTCATTTTGGCATTTCCAAAGGCGACACACAATAATATGCCGAATCCAATCTTCTTCACAAACTCGTGAGGGGTAGTGGAATGGTTGACCGGGATCAGCAGCAACCACCAGCGTGCTCTACTGCACGATCAACACCGAGCTACACACATTTCCCCTTGCTCAATCCTTGCACCCCGGGCAATCGGATCCCACAGCGAAGACAGAACAGCACGGCTGCCACGCAGGCGCTCAGCGCAGCGCTCGGTATCCTCCACCAACGTCAGGCGTCGTCAAGTCCCGCGTACCCCCCTGCACCACAACCGCCACCGCCGCCACCGCCGACCGCATTTTCCGCTACCCCCCAAGCACCGACGGCGCCCACCCCTCAAGCGCCGGCTGTCTATCCAGCAACGGTGAGCGAAGCGCTCTACGACCACGGAGGGGGTGCGCCGCGGTTGGAGCCCAGGGCGCTGGCCGCTGCGCGCAGCCGCGATGGTGGCAGTGGCGGCGGGTGGTGGGAAGGTGGCGAAGGTACCGGCGTCGAGCCACGCTATGGCCAGCGGCATCAGCCCCAGCAGCACACCGCCGCACCCGACACAGGGGACGGTTTTATGGGGTCTCCGGCCCCCGCCGTCCGCGGAGGCGCCGGAAGAGAGCCACCCCGCTCCGCGCGGCACGCCGAAAGCGCCGGGGTTGGCGGGCGCGAGCTGCTAACTCGAAGCGAGATCCAGAGAATCGTGGACGACGCCGTCATGAACGGCACCGGGAGGAGGGGGACGGGCGACGGCGGCGGGGGCGATGATGTCGCCGGTGTTGGCGGTTCGCATGCCGCCGGTGCGGAGCTACCGGGGGTCGGGTACAGATGGCGGGATACGTCGCTGGGCTTCGGTTCTAGCTCGCTTCTCGATCGTGGTGGTGGCGGTGGCGGCGGTGGAAGAAGATCTGCGGCGGCGGCGGCGGCGGCGGCGGCACCCACGGCCGCCGCCTCGTGTTCGGGACGCCGGAGGGACACCGCGTGGCTGTCAAGCCGGCCCCCCGCTACCGCTATCGGCAGAACACCAGCAGAACGCGGGATCGTTGTCGGTGCTGCGCGGGTGGGCGGACCCCCGCCACGGCCCAAAGCCACGAACAGCGACGTTGGCGGTGGCAAGAATGGTGGGGGGGGTTCCGTGAGCTTCGGGGGGGGGTCTTCGCTCGGGCCTCGCGCGGTGACCCGGGAGGATCTGACCAGGCTGGACAACGAGATCGCGAACCTGAGCAAGACGGTCGAGCAGGTCAGTTTGTCAGCGGCCCCGCGGCTGCGGCCGGGGGTCTCTTCCTCTCGCGCCCGCCGCTGCTGCGTTGTGGTCGTTGTCGAGTGGGCGTGCGTGTTGGAGTTTGGCCGTTGTATTGTGGCAGCTGACCGAGTGTCGTATGGAGGTCGTGTTTGGCAAGAAGCGCAAATCAGAACAAGAATAATAAATGAGAAACAAGAGAACCAAGCCGATTTGTCCGTTCGAGGGCGGGGTTGCTGTATCACTCCTGGCGAGGTGATGTGCACCTGTTGTCACTCCGTTACGCGACATTTCGAAAAAAATCATTCCATATCTAATGGCCATCGAAAAGGCGCTACCCACGCGACAATATCGTATATGACGCAAGATAACACACCCCCTGGACCGATTTTCAAAGCTTCATTACGTCACGACGAAGTGGATGCATAAACGAAATGGTATATTTTCGAAAAGCTCTCGACGAGACGGTTCCAACGCCGCCGTTTTCGCCGCTGTGACTTCTCCTGCTGTTGAGAAATCGAGCTTTGAAAATCGGTCAAGGGTGTGTGTTGTCTTGTGTCATATACGGTATCCATAAACGGTAGAGTTGTGAATCGGTACGAAAAAACGATATATTTTACATCGGCTGCGCAGCAGCCGATATAACGATATTTTCTCCGATATATCGCCGTAGGCGATATATCGGAGAAAATATCGGGCGAGCGCAGCGAGCCGTGATGGGGGCGAGCGAAGCGAGCCCCCCCATCGGCCCCCCCCGGCTGGTGAGGGGGCCTCGCCGGAGGCGCCGCCGGAGGCAGAAAATTTGGTGCATTTTCCTTTCATTTCCCGTCAAAATGGGCCCAAATGCGGCATCAAAAAGGGCTTGACTTCAGCTGCAAACATCGCACGGAATGTAAAAAAAAAAAAAAAAGATTAAGATTGATGTATTGTCGCGTATCCTCAGCAGTACCCTCCTTCGGTCTCTCCCTGTGTCTACTTCCCGGTTGGTTCTGGTCATGGCGCTGTTGTCTGCTGTTTCTGCGCTGCTGTGCTGTGTGTGTGTGGCGTACAGGGGCTCCGTACTGCTGCGCATACCCTAAATTTGATTCACGGAGCCCCTAAGAAAACATCGGTCGGAACATCGGCACGAATTTTCGATACCGATATCGATATATATCGGACGATATATATCGTGTACATCGTTCCGATTCACAACTCTAATAAACGGGGATGTAGTCAGTAACATCCATCAATGATATACAGGCGCGCTTGCCCTGGAGTGGGCTGTGTCGGTGAAGTCGGTCTAACACCCTAGCTCTGATCGTCCAGAGTGGCAGGCAGGAATAAAAAACACTTGTTTTACACCTCCCAATTTTTTGGCAACCCCCAAGCACAAACTTGGCAACGACGTTGTAACACAAGCCAATTCCCTTCGTGAGCTCGGCAACCTGGTAACCGTTTTTTTTTTTTTACCTCTTTTTTTTGGCGGTAACCATAGTGGTGGTCGAGTAGTTCATGTTGTGCGGGGTGGAGAACCCTCACTCCGCGCAAGGGGGATGATCGCACCACGTTGTGTTAAAATGGTCAAGCACCCTCGAGGCAGTTACACAGTGCTTACAACTGTCTCTGGAAGTGAAAGCACCAGAAAATAAATTAAGTCATACGCAGCTGTCTATCCGTATGCAAGAAGTAAGCACAAGATGCCGAACACCCTTAGCGGGATGCAGCGCACCCTTCATGCGACTCGCCGAATATCTCACGGCGCTTCGCGCTTGGTGATGTGAGAGCCTGGTCCGGTGAGAACCCGGCGTGCTCCGTCCCGGCTTTGTAGGGATGCGAGGTCAATGGTCTAACGACTACGGCATGCACGACTATGAGTACACCCCAAGCCCACCGCACCCCGCTCTACCCCGAACCCCCCTGCCGGCTGTCCCGCGTTACCCCGGTACTAAACAACGACCCAGGCGGCGATGGCGCAGACGCGACAGATCTTGCGAAACGTAGCCGACTAAAGAATATCTAGTCTCTTGTCCGTTTTTTTAAGGGAGGGAGGGTGTGCGTGGGTGGGCGAGGGCGGGAACCGATGCTGGCTTCGTACGTGGGGGATGTTGGGGATGCTGTCTGCAAGGGGACAACTGATTAGTTTCCATGTGCGCCCTTGGGCATGCCCGTGGAACGTCTGTTTTTTTTGCGCGTTGTGGGGAAGGAGCGTCTGTCGCCGTGTGTCCGGTCGGTCAGTCAGGCGTAAGTCGAGAAGCTGTTCCAATCGTTCCAATCGGCGATGTACACCAATCAGAAGAATTATTTATCGTTTCATTCTCTGATGTATCTCTGTGAAATGGGGTCTATCCTGAGCAACGTTTCAATTTGTATGTAGATGCACGATTTTTTTTTGTAAATGTCGGGACCCCAGCCCAAGAGTGCGACTTCGGAGGTGCGGTACCACTGTAAACGAGTATGTTTTGTGGTCGTGCTTGCTACCGTGTCCCGCTCGCTTGTCGACAGAGGCGACGGGCCTGGAGCGAGAGCCAGTCGCGCTCACCCGACACGCTTATGTTTACACTCGACGACCTTGGAATTTTTTGGACATGTATTGTATGGCAGCCCTGATTGTTTGGTTTTGTGCTCATTTTACGGTGAACGACTCCAGATGGCCGCCATTTCTCTGGGCGACGAAAACGTTTGCATTCGATTTTTTTGTTTTTCGTCATGTATGCCCCGCGGTGTGGGTGTTCTGCATGAGTGTTGTGGTTTGTTTTTGCGCGGATCAGCTGTGTGTAACTGCCGCCAGCACCACAGTTGGGGTTGTGTTGTGCGAAGCAACGCTTTTTGGGCACACACGAGCGAAGCTTCCTCTCCGCGCTTGGCTTGGTGCTGCTCGATGTTCGAGCAAGGCAATGTAGAGAAAGTTTTGAACGGTAACAACGAGGCGCCACGCTTTCTGGTGGCGACTAGGTACCCAGGCGTCACAAGCTTTCTGATGGCGGCTAGATACCCAGGCGTTACGCGCGTGTGCGTATATGTTGCGGTTACTGAAACAAATTCACGTCTTGTCCATAGACACGAGTGCAGGAATTTTTTGGCGATGGATGAACGCATGCGTAATGTTTCGTGTCTGGAAAATTCGATAGATTCATGCGGGCGTGTTGAGCACGGCTAACGCCACCTCCTGTGAGGTGTACTGCGATGTCACCATTCATCGTAAAACACAGCGATGGCTCATTCTTACTGAAGTTGTTGGCTGTGCAGCGTTTAACAACTTAATAGTGCTCTGCATCTATGCATTTTGTGTTATGGGGGACACCCGCCGACTCGTCTCGTTCATTTCCATATGACGATTATCAATAGCATCGACACTGTTGCTCGTGGGACGGAGCATGTGACTCGAGATGTACATAACGTCACCCCTTATTTGTCCATCCCAATGATGAGGCTGTGACACTGGTGGTGCAGTTGGTGCAGCCCTTTCCTCTACATTTCTCCAGGCCCTTCTTCCACAAAGCTCTGTATGGAGCGCGCTTGCTTGCGGTTTCCCGTTTTTTTCTTGTCGCTCTTCCATGTAGTATCCCGTGCTGTGAATGGGCAAGGCCATGGAGTAGGCAGGTCTCAGCTGTGACCGATGGTTGGTTATGATAAAAGAGCTGCAAGCAAATCAGCATCTTGCGTAAGAACGGGCAAGGTGCATGTATGAAGGTTCATAATATGCGGCCGTCGCCGCAAAATCCCGCAAAAGATCGCGTAAACGATTCCGGGTCTTTCCCGTCTCGGTGGTGCACTCCCACGGTGATCCTCTCGCCCGCGAAATATATTAAGGGGTGACTTTTCCTTTCAAGAAACGCTCGTGTGGCACTTGGAAGCCGATCCTCAAGAGTGTGCACGCGGCGGGTATGTTACATGCTTCTTTTTTGTTGCCTGGCGACTCCCCCATCAACCATCTCCATCATCCTGGTCAAGCAAGAAAAAGGAGCATCCTAAATCGGTTCTTGACACAGCAGTAGCACACAATCAGCAACAGCATTGGGAGAACCGAATACTCACGTTCAACAAAACATCCTGGCCGGTCTCTCCAGTCACAGGGGCAGAACAGGCAAGGTACAAGCACGATGCAGAACAAAACACAACAAACATCGTTGAGAACACAACAAAAATACACCGCCGGGGAGCACTCAAACGCATATTCTCTTAGGAAAACGGACAACGAGCCAGCCGGGCCGTAGCCAATTGTCTTGGAACGAAGGCAAAGCAGAACCCCCCCACCCCCCCAAATCACAAAAACACATAAGACCATCAAGTGCCGGGCCATTCCGAAAAAAAAATCTGGAAATCTCGTCCCCCTTTGGGGCCGGTCCACCAACAAAAACATCCGGGCATCCACGTGCCTGCGCCGCAGTGTAAAGGAATAACCCGAGACCATGCCACGTGTGTACGACCAGCCTAAAAGCCGAACCAGATCAAGGCAGGGGATGAGAATCCAGCGGCCTCTCGGTTGTGTTGTACATGCCACTTCATAGGTGCCGCCCCCCCTTCCCGCGCTCCCAAACCGATCCTTGTCCAAAAAAAAATCGATCCCCTGTAGTGGAACACGTTCGGGTGAGCACCACACCCTGTGTGGGTAATATATCGTATGCACCCCACCCACGTCATGTCCCCGCTGGAGATGCGCCACTTATGGTATCGTGACACGCAAGGCGCGATCCACAGAAAACACCTCCCTCTCGACCCGCAGCGCCGTCTTCCCCAACACTCCCTTGCACCTCTCCCGGTAGAACCCCGCTCTTTCTATGAAATGCACCGTCGATGGGATTACTTGTAGTACGTACGCGGCGCGTTCGCCTGTCTGACCATCAACGTCTGCTCAACAGACAGCTTTCAACGTAAACTCAAATGGCCTTGCCAGCAGCTCGCTAATTTTATTTTCATTGGGATATACTGACAGCCTCGCACCCACTCGACGCGAAGCCCACCGACCATGCGCGGAAGTAATCTTGTCAAAACTTGGTCGTGTTGTCAAAAATTGGTCCCTCTCTTCCACATCCACCCACAGCCTAGTAGAACCGCGAAGGAATAAAGCCCATGCTCATCACCCCGCGCACGTTTATCAAGGGGCGCAGTCACAACGACCGACTAGGACCGTGCACACACCCGAACTTGTCGCCCCCCTTGGTCGCCAACATCGAGTAGACGAATACGCTCAGCCTGATCGGG